TGCCTGTACATGTAACTTTAACTAGGCCAAGCCCTGAAAAAGTGGTGCATTGGCTGGGAACTCGACGGCGACCTAACTGATCCAACAACGTGGATCTCTCACGGGGCATGATGGAAAACCCTGACCCGCTCCAACAAACTTGGCATCTGGTAGGCCAGCTCCAGCAGCAGCAGCAGCAGCAACAACAGGCCTGGGCTCAGAGGAACCAAGTAGAGCTGAAAGTCCCCAAGATGATGCCCCAGGATGATCCAGAAGCATTTCTGGAGAGCTTTGAGTGGGCAGAGCTAGCCTCAGAGCTAGATCAGAGCCGCTGGGCTGGGCAGTTGGGTGTAGTCTTGATAGGGTGGGCACAAGCTGCCTACCAAGCCAGGGCATGGGAAGAAGTCTTAGATTACGACAAACTAAAGAAGGAAATCCTATACTAGTTGGACATCAGTCCTGAAAGATACCACCAGACGTTCCAAGCTAACAAGAAGAAAGTGGATAAATCTCCTAGGGTCTTGCTTCAGCACCTGGCAGATCTACTGGAAAAGTGACTGAGGCCACAAAAGATGTCCAAGGTCAATATATGCGACCAGATCTTGTTAGAACAGTTTCTCTTGGACTTAGATGAGAATACACAAAGGTGGGTGAGATGTCACCATCCAGAATCATTGGTGGAAGCTCTGAGGCTGGAAGAGGATTTTGACAGTGCCCAAGGAGAAAATGGCTGTGAGTGGACTTTGAAAGGTGGGCTGAATATTAGTCAATGAGAGGCTGAATGTAAAGAGGCGCGTGAAGCACGTCTGGCTCATGGACGCAGCATGGTATGTTTTCAGTGTGGCAAGCTGGGACATATGGCCAGGGAGTGTACCAGCATGCCTCGGCAGGGGCCCCGTTCAGGAGACCCGTATTTCAAAGTGCGGGAGTACCAGAATGACCCGAAGGATAGTGGTCCAGGCAAAATGATGGATTGTACCCTAGGAAAGAGCAACTGGGAAGAGAACAAAGAGCAACCTATGGTTTAGGCAACAGCTGGGGGGAAGAAGATACAAGCCATCATCAATACCAGTTGTGCCCAAATGTTGATTCTGGAAGATCTAGCTTCTCTCGACTGGGCACCAGATGCAACGGCAGTCCAGATGATATGCATGCATGGACAACCTTCCACGTATCCCCGAAAGAGGTACCGGATGGAAATCCTTAATAGAGCCAGAGAGATGCCAGTTGGCCTAGCGGAGGATCTACTTTACCCAATGATATTGGGCCATAACTGGGAAGAGATCTACCAGGTGCTGAAGGTGGTGAGAAAACTGACTAGGACTCACAGGAGAAGAATCAGAGAACATGGAGGGATTTGACCTAGAGAGTTTGTCCAGCAACACACGCTTTTGAGAGGCGCAAGTGGAAGAGGGGGCGTTCCATGCCATTATCCAGATGGAGCTGGTCATGAACAATGAACCAAGCGGCCCCAATGTTGCAATGTTGCACATTACCCCAGTTTGAACTTAGAAAGGGCCTACTTTATAGAATTAAGTCAGGTCATCAAGAAGGGCAAGAAATACCTAAACTATTGATCCCTCAACCCTACTGGGCCCCACTAATTGAGATTGGCACATGTGAATCCTCTGGGAGGACATATGGGGAGGGCAAAAATGGAAGCTCATTTGGCCAAATACTGTTTTTGGCCACACCTATCTAAGCAAGTCGAAGACTTCTGCCGAGCGTGTCCAAATTGCCAAAGGGTCAGCCTAAGGAAACCCCCATGGGCCCCACTACAGTCTATGCTGATAGTGTCAGACTTAGGCTTAGAAAGTGGGTGGATAAAAACCAAATGACATTCAATACAGATAAATGCAAGGTACTCCACCTTGGAGGGAAAAAAACTCGCATCACGCTTATAGGTTCAGCA